AGGAGCAGAAATCAAAAGATGTCCTGCATTGGGCAAGCCTGCTACAAAAGACTTCTTTAAAGTATTAAAAAGCAAAGATGTTACATTGAGGACTAAGGTGCTTTTGACCCAAACTGTGTATTTTCAATCATGTTATTCATGCAATACATGGACAATGAATGAGTAAGAAAAACTGAAGAATAATTCAGATGCATTTAAATTGTGGTGTGGTCAAATACTGAATGTGCTGTGGACTGCTAAAATAATAACCAATCAGAATGTCCCTTAGATTTGAAGAGGGTAAGACTTATATGCTTTGCTTTTTACCTTTTTTCCTCCTTTTTTTGTTGTTGTGTGTTGTCAAATCAGACCCAACTGGCACAGGAGGAGATTGCCCCCTCCTTCTCCAGCAGAGCATCTGGTGGGATTGAACTGTGTGCCTTCAAGATTGCAGCACAGCTTCTTGCAACTAGGCCACTAGGGCTCCCTTCAAGACATATATATGCTTTGGACATGGTATTTGGCAAGACAGTCCTGGTGTCATGAAGGACCAGTCTACCATTTTTCTAAGAGAAAGAGGAAGATTTGTCAAAGAGATATTTAAACCAGTGGCTGCAACATTGGGTTCAATCATTTTTCTTCTGCACTATGAGAGCTGATGGGATGACCCCTAACAGCAGCCACAAGAGTGTCTGTAACATACTAATGGTTCTGTAAACGCTAATTATGGTTGTGTTGTGGTTAGGTGCCATTGAGTAGACCAGACCTCAAAGTGATTAAGAACAACATATTGAAACCTTGCTCTGTCCTACCCTGTTCTCAACAAAACTTTGCAATGCTCCTGATACAGTTACTACATCAGTCTGTATCATTAAAGGTCTCTCTCTTTTGCTGACCGTCTACTTTTCCAAGCAATTACTATTTTTGTTGTCAATTATAATTGTGGGAGAAGGATGGCAATCTCCTCCTGTGTGATTAATTGCCTCTGAAAACCTGCCAGAGGGTCAGATACGGGTCACTCCCCACTCGATGGTACACAACAATAATAACCATTATAATTGATTGACATTTGTGAAGTTTTCAGATTTCTTTAAATTTCTTAGGCACTTCTCTCTGGTATAAAACACTTGCTTATTAAATATTGTCAATTTGATCAACTGCATAAGGGCAGGAATTCTATAATTTCTTTGTAGCCCTGTACTATTTAGCATCTTAAGTGAAAAAAGTACTTGGCATATTTGTTGACATCAATAAATAATAGATTATACTACGACTGGGTTCTTCTGTTCTTTAGTTGGCAGTAAACCGAGAGACAAATTTCCAGTGCAGGTTATATGAGCTTAATCTTTCCTACAGTTTCACCGTATTTATTTTTTAATTGCTGATACAGATGCATCTATAATAAATATTTGGGTTTTTTGTGATGCTTAAGCACAGTCCCAATTACAAAATAATTTAGAAGTTAAAGTTGAAATACAAACAGCCTAAATTAGAAATGAAACAAAATTATGTCTGTTAGCAACAGTTCTGAAATGTTGTATAGTGACAACAAAGGCATCAACTTAAGTATTTTACAAAATTAAGTTTGGTTTGTATATTTTCTTGAAGTGGATATTCTCTCAATATTCCTATCATTTCATCTGCATCTTCCTAAAAATTATTTTAACACTTTCATTACTTGATTTTCTTTTCCTTTCCCCCCCTTCCATATTAAAAAATGGTGTTTAATTGACTTACAAAGTCAGTAGAATATTGTTTGTTTTTTTTTTTCGCTGCAGCTGAAAGCTTCTTTATTGTGGTAAAATGGCGGCCGCGGCGCCAGAATATTGTTTGAAACCAATAATGGCTCTATGTTTTTTTTTAAGCCAGCACCTGTTGTATCTGAATTAAAACAATTGACTCCAAAGTGCAGTATCATTGCTAAGTCCCACAGCTCTTTATCTCAGACTTATCAACGCCTTTGAATTTCTCAGTTCCTAGGTAGTAATATGTGTTATAAATGTATTATAGATATCCAGTGTGAACAGATTTCCAAAATAACCTAGATATTCCATTTATACTTTCAAACTTCTAATAACTAACATCTTTAAATCAAACCTGCTTTTCATGCAAAGGACACTGATCTTGCTTTCACAGGTATAGTCAGGAAACCTTACATTAAAGTTATGGCAGAGCAAATTGCTAGTCATGATATAGCTGTAGCCTCCATAAAGTATTTTGGCTCAGGTTCTCTAGGCCTCAGAATTCTTAGAATTACAGAGAAGTGGTATGTTACTTGCATACCATACGACGAGAAGAATGAAATAGTATTGTGTCAGGGGTGTTTATCTTTCAGTGAGGCAGTGTTATTAGATGGGCAATCTCTCCCATTCCATTTTACAACCTGGGAAAACCTGCTAGAGGGTTGGCTATCAGTGGTTCTGACTCAATGGCAATGAGTTGTGGGTTTTTCCCTGATGACAGACATTCTTTACATTATTGCCTTAATCTCTTCACTGCTTCTGTAAAGATTTTCAACCTTAGAAACCCTATGGGATAGTTCTACTTAGCATCACTGTGAGTGAGAATCTATGAGCTTGGGTTTTGTTGCTTTATCCACGCTCTAGGTAGCAGGCATTTGATTGTGTAGATCATAACAAACTGTGGCTGACTCTGAGAAGAATGGGAATCCCAGAACACTTGATCGTTCTAATGCGAAACTTATACTTGGACCAGGAGGCAGTCGTCAGAACAGAGCAAGGGAACACTGCATGGTTCAAAATTGGGAAGGGTGTATGCCAGGGATGCATCCTATCTCCATACCTTTTCAACCTATATGCAGAACAGATTATCCGGGAGGCTGGGCTCTATGAAGGGAAATGTGGGGTCAAGATTGGTGGACGATTTATCAACAATCTGTGTTATGTGGATGACACAACTCTGCTTGCTGAAACTGAAGAGGACCTGAAGCGCATGCTGCAGAGCGTCAAGGACTGCAGCCTACAATATGGACTGAGGCTCAATGTCAAAAAGACAAAGATTCTCACTGCTGGACCAATTGGCAGCATCAGGATGCATGGTGAAGAGATTGAGATTGTACACAGCTTTAGTTTGCTTGGCTCCATAGTCAACAGTCTTGGCACCAGCAGCCAGAAAATTAAAAGGCACATTGCCATGGGAATGTCTGCTGTTGGGGACCTCTCCAAAGTGCTGAAGAGCAGTGGTGTCTCTCTGGAGACTAAGGTGCATCTGATACAGGCCATGGTCTTCGCAATCACCTGTTATGCATCAGAGAGTTGGACAATGACCAAGGAGGATAGAAGGAGAATTGATGCCTTTGAGCTGTGGTGCTGGAGAAGAGTATTGAGAATACCATGGACTGCTAGGAAAACAAACAGATTTGTCCTGGAAAGGGTTAAACCGGGTGGCTCCTTGGAGGCAAGGATTCTGAGGCTCCGTCTAACATACTTTGGACATGTTGTGAGGAGAGACTGGTCCTTGGAGAGGGACATCATGCTTGGGAGGGTGGAGGGACAGTGCAGGAGAGGAAGGCCCTCTATGAGGTGGATTGATTCAGTGACTGGGATAATTGGGATGGGAGTGTCGGAGACAGTGCGATTGGCACAGGACAGAGCAGAGTTTAGGGCTGTTGTACATAGGGTCGCTATAAGTCGCAGGTGATTCGACGGCACATAACAACAACAACAGGTAGCACAGTGGTCAAAACTATTAGTTTGGTATTGGAAACTACTGCTTTTCCTTTTCCAGACACCTTTGACTTTCCCCTTGAATCAACTGTTCAGCTGTCCTAGTAAATCATTCTGTGAATTTCTTCCAAGGTGCTAACAACTAAAATGTTAATAGGCACTAGGCCAGTTCATCCTTGCCACCCACTAATTTCCTTAATGTGTATTCCCCTTCCATCTATTTCAGAGCTAGACTTCCTTGGAGGCAAAGGCTGTGAAAACACTAAATTTCTATCTCAACCCAGCAGGGAATGGTTATGACAGATACTTGCAATGCCAGTAGGAAATTTTGGCAAGGCCTTATCTCTTTCTCTATTTCAGTGACACTTGGAATTCTAGTTGCATACCTTCTCAGAAAGAAGAGACTATAAAGGTATGTCAGGTGATCTTTCAACATCCCAGAAAGATAACTTTATCTCTAGAAGACAGATTCTCTTTATAGACACTGTTAAATAACATACAGGATAGATTTCCTTCTTCCCAGATTAGCCCAGCAGCATCCTAGAGACATTAGCTTTGAAGGACATCCACAGTTGTTCTACTATATATTTCTGGTATTTATCACTGAACCTCATTAAGATAGAAAGGCTTTCCACAGTCCTTTGTCACACACTGTGGTCCTTTTTTTTTTTTTTTAATCTCATGTTAGCATTTCATAAAAGTGCGAAGATCTGTAGTGGATAGAGTGGGTGAAAATCTCCCTCATCTCCCATCATTTGCACCTCCTGAAATTTAGATTCAAATCTCATGTCAAATGAAGTCAAGACACATGGGTTGTTTTTTTTTATGGAATCTTTCAGAAGTGGTAGGCCTAGTACAGGGTGCAGATCAGTCTATTATAAGGTAAGGCTGTGGTTCTTGACTATCTGAATAATCACAATAATCCAGTAGGTTTGCAGAAATGCATAGAAATTTACAAATAATAACCCACTTTTTCTTGACACTGGTGAATCAAAGCACTGATACAAGACATTCCAGGTGAGAAGTTTTAAAATGGTCACTTCCCATTTCCCAGCTTCTTACCACAGGTTCTGGGTAACAAATTTGACAGATTTGAAGGCTTGTTGTCCCAAGCTCTAGTCTGAAGGCACAATGAGATGCCTTTTTGGAGGTGATCTGCTTACATAGTTTTGCTTGTTTGGTGTCAAAAAGGAAAGTAAGTGCTCATTGGAATCCATTTCATGCAATGCCCATTGTCATTTAAATAACCTCACGACTGTGTGGCCTGTGACCGAGCCAAATGAGTAGAACAGTCCTAAGACCCTGACTCCTGGGAAAGCTTGAGAGTCAAGTCCACTAATTGAAGGCTCTGCTCTGGCTGGGGAGCGTGCTGGACACGATTTCTGCTTTGGTCAGGGGGACATGGGGAGCTTTCTTTGGTTCGGGACCTCTCTCCTCCGGCTGCTGCAGGCTGTACGCGTGGGCCGCCAGCCCTGGCTGGTGTGCGGCTTCCGTGGACAGTGTCCGCTGGCTGCGCGAGGCACTGTTTGCCGTGGAGCGAGTGGAGGACGACCCAGAGCGGGAGCTACGCGAGCCTGAGGAGGAGGAGTTGGGCTTCACCAGGCGGGCTTTCGGGGCTTCTGCGTCTTCTCTGAGAAAAAAACAAGAAAGAGGAGCTTTAATACTGGCAGGAAAGTGACACCCTCCTGTATGGAACTTCCTCCAGCTGAAATCCTCAAATACTACTACTGGAAGCCTGCCTTTAAGGCAAAAAGACCCTCTCCCATTTCTACAGACTGACTTCGTGAAATGTATGTTTTGCTAGCCACTCTTCCCCTTAGAAGATCTCCACTCTCCGGTGGGATCAGGTGGACAGCACTCTCCCTGACTTGGTGTTTGTCTGCAAGTTTGTCTTTATGGCCCACATGTAACCAGAAAAAGATAGCATTCGGCTGCCCACCACTACAAGCCAATTAAATCTTTTAAATGTGCTTGACTCACAAAAACGGCTTTCTTTTTTAATTTTTTATTATTTTGTGTGTGTAGCGTCAAATTGGATCTGAGAGGTGCAGGAAGAGATTGCCCCTCCTTCTCCAGCAGAGAATCTGGTGGATTTGAACTGCACACCTCTGGAACTGCAGTACAGCTTCTTGCCACTAAGCCACCAAACTGCTTTCTAACATTTCAGAATTAAACCTTTTACCTGAGTAGCCAGCCAAAGGGAGTGGAAAGAAATGTGGGAAGGGTCCTGGAGGAAAGTGCCAGGGATCTGATACGGTTGTTTGTTCCATGATGTCTCTTCCCTGATGGCTGTCAGCTGTCCTGTGTTTAGTAGTAAGTAGGTAGCCCTGGTGGCTCAATAGCAAGGAACTGTGCTGCCAATGCAAAGGTACTTGGTTCAAATCTACCAGCTGCTCTGCCTGGAGAAAGATGGGCAGTCAATTGCTGTGTACTGCCCTTGATAAACCTGTTGCAGGGCAGCAAGGTAGTCAACCGACTTCTTTGCAAAATCATCACAGATTTTACCTTTAGCATTCTTCAGGTAATATCTCAGGCTTGGTTTGTTTGTTTATTTGTTTATTTCTTTTATATCAGGGAGACTTGATTGCAAATACTTAGTTCCTAGAATAAATCTCACAGCTAGTTTATCAGTTAGATTAAACAACATTACATGGGAAATTTTTGCTATGGTCCTAAATTTGGACAACTATATGCAATCAAAATTGGGAAGGGTGTACGCCAGGGATGCATCCTATCTCCATACCTTTTCAACATGTATGCAGAGCAGATTATCCGAGAGGCTGGGCTCTATGAGGAGAATTGTGGCATCAGGATTGGTGGAAGATCTATTAACAATCTGTGTTATGCAGATGACACAACCCTGCTTGCTGAAACTGAGGAGGACCTCATGCATTTGCTGCGGAGGGTCAAGGACTGCAGCCTTCAGTATGGACTGAGGCTCAATGTCAAGAAGACAAAGATTCTCACCACTGGACCAATTGGCAGCGTCACGATGGATGGCGAAGAGATTGAGATTGTTCACAGCTTCAGTTTGCTCAGCTCCACAGTCAACACTCTTGGTACCAGCAGTCAGGAAATCAAAAAGCGTATTGCGATGGGAAAGTCTGCTGTTAGGGACCTCTCTAAAGTACTCAGGAGCAACGGTGTCTCTCTGGAGACTAAGGTGCGCCTGATACAGGCCATGGTCTTTCCAATCGCTTGTTATGCATCAGAGAGTTTGGACAATGACTAGGGAGGACAGAAGGAGAGTTGATGCCTTTGAGCTGTGGTGCTGGAGAAGAGTACTGAATGTACCATGGACTGCCAGGAAAACAAACAGATTCATCTTGGAGAGGGTTAAACCAAGCTACTCCTTGGAGGCAAGGATTCTGGGGCTTCGTCTGACATACTTTGGACATGTTGCCAGGAGGGACGGGTCCTTGGAGAGGGACATCATGCTTGGGAGGGTGGAGGGACAGCGCAGGAGGGGAAGACCCTCTATGAGATGGATTGATTCGGTGACTGGTGTAATCGGGATGGGTGTGTTGGAGGCAGTGTGGTTGGCGCAGGATAGAGCAGGGTTTAGGGCTGTTGTGCATAGGGTCGCTATGAATTGCAAACGACTCAATGGCACATAACAACAACAACATATGCAATCAAACCTTACCTTGGCAATTTTTAGCAGTCATTTTAAAGACCCTTACATTGGCAACTTTTTAAAAAATTTTATTATTAATGTCAATGAAAATTTACAGAGACTTTGGATTTCCATTCATTCGTTGTTGCTACATGGGCAACTTTTACCAGCGTCCTAAAACATAAACTCTATCTGAGCTCAAGTCTCCATCACACAACCTATATCAATATTTTTTTTCAGTAGAAGTGAAATAGAAGTAGAGTTGATCTTTAAATCTCAGCTGAAGACAGTTTCACAATAAATCAAGGCAAACTCATCCAAATAAACCGTTTATAAGATTTAATGTTAAGAGCAAAGGGGACATTTATATTTACTGACCTCTGTGAAGCTATCAGAAGGAAGTCCGTTCATGGAGAGGTAGTGGCTTACCTAATTTCATTGGGCCGCTCTTCCTCTTCATATCTCTTTTTGTCTTTCCTTCGGATTAGCAGCCACACCAAGAGGAAGATCAGCATGGCTCCAGCCACCACACCTGTCACCGCTCCTGCGACCATGCCAATGCTTTGTACATCTGTTTTCTCAGAAGCAAAAGCACAAGACAAACCAAATATAAGCTGAGAAAATATGTGAGTTCAAAAAACTTAAAGCTTGGGCAGGATGAATGAGCGCTCAATCTCTGCCTGGCTTCTTGAGTTGCATACATCATCACTCTCTATAGAATCAACACTGAGATTATTTGCGGTTGTGATTACTGAATCATAGACTTCACCAGCAAGTGGCCCCGAGTGAATAGGTCCGAGTTTGTTCAGAAAATGAATAAAACTAGGACTGGGAAAGTTACTGTGTCACATTCAAAAATTAGTCAACCTTTCCAGGATAACCTTTGAGCAGTCTTCTTCCTCTGCCACCTCCACTTCTTCCTTTAATTTACCCTTTCCCCGACTAATAAAGTAAAAAGGTTATACAATGTTTGACTCCAAGATTACCTATCAGATTCTATAAATTCTGAAGTCAAGGTGAATGGGATTTGCACCCTAGTAACTCACAGAACTTTCATTTCTATGCAAAATAACCAAGTGCCTGTCATAGCTAGGTATAGTTCTAGGCATTGGTAAAGGCAGACAAGAGTCCTGTTTGGATGCATTTATATTTCACAAAGTGGAAAAGAGATAGTAAACAACTGGCCTATTACTAAGAAGCTGTGCTGCAATCCCAAAGGTTTGAGTCCACCAGCTGCTCCACAGGGAGAAGGATGGGCAATTTCTTCCCTTGGGATTTACTGCCTCTGTAAACCTGGTGGAAGGTCAGCTGTGGGTCAAATGGCACACAACAACAAATAAACAAAGACCATTTCAGAAAATGGGTTAATGAAGATAAAACTTGATAAGTGATACTATAGGAGGGCAAAGGAAGGATACCATTTAAGACTGAGTAAATCAGGACACTGAAGAGGTGGCAGCTGACCCAAGGACAGCATTCCAGGTAGGTGCAATGGCAGATATAACAAGGTGGATGGGCAGGAGGGGAGTCACAGGAGATGAGTCACAGACACAGAAAGACACCAACTCATTTGGCTTATAGGCCATGGCAAGCAGTTTACTCTGGCAGCAGTGAAAGTGTAATATAATCCAAAATGGTGGCCTAGTGGTAAAAAACTGCACTGTAATCCCAAAGGCATGTGGTTCGAATCCACCAGCTGCTCTGTGGGAGAGAGATGGACAATCTCCTCCCACACGAAAACCTGTCTGAAAACCTGCTGGAGGGTCAGCTATGGGTCAGTTCTGACTCCACGGTACACAACAACAACAACCATCCAAAACAAATTGTATGGAAATAAGAGAAGCTAGGAAACTATTAAAGTAATACAGGCTAGAACTGATGGTAGAAGGAACGGAGATAAACAGGTACATGAGCATGGCTTATATTTTAGATGTACTGTCAATACGATTTGCTGTTTATCCTATTTATTTTTTTATATTTTTTTATTAATTTTAATGAACGTTTACAGAGATTTTGGATTTCCATTCATTCATTATTGCATTTTTCTCCCTGCCCACACCTCCCCCCAGTTCGCTCTTCTCTTTGAAAAGTAAAAGATTATTTTGTTGGTATACTATCCCCTCTCCCCCCACCCAAGTACATGCCACTATGCAACCTTCATTCTGGACTCTTGTAATAACCATAATACTCTACAATATATCAATTTTAAACAGTTCTCTCCCTCATCTGTTTCAATGCAATATATATAATTTACCCAATTTTTCTAAGTCTCACCCCAAAAGCAGTGGCACTATGCAATATTTATCCTTTTGTGACTTGAGATATTTCACTCCGCATAATGTTCTCCAAGGTCACTCATTTTGAATAATATTGCATGAGTTCCCTTGTTTTCCAACGCAGCATAGTATTCCATTGTGTGAATATACCAGAGCTGCTCTATCCATTCATTTGTTGATGGACACTTAGGTTGTTTCTAAGTTTTTGCTATTGTGAACAAAACCACAATAAACATGAATGTGCTTATATTTGCCTGGGTGGCAGTTACGGTCTCTTTAGGGTATATTCCCAGTAGAGGAATTGCTGGGTCAAATGGTATTTCTATTTGTAACTTTTTGAGAAAGTACCATACAGCCTTCCATAGTGGTTGCACCATTTTACACTCCCACCAACAGTGAATAAGGGTTCCAGTTTCTTTGCAGCCTCACCAGCATTTATTGTTTGCTTATCCTACTTCTTTGTAAAACAAAATGATGCCTTAAAAATTAACAGCTCATTTGCTAAATACAATTACCTCAAACTTTTTCATTTGTTAACTAGATTTTGGATCTCAGGTTAAGATTCTGCCTCAGGTCTCAAAGGCCTGGAGTTCATTTTATCCGGGCAGTTTGCATTAGTGAGTACTGTCTTCCCTGCTGCCCATCCCCTGCCACATACACATAATATAGATTGGTTATCTATTGAGAGAGACTTAGGCGGTTTCTAGTTTTTCACAATTAAAAAGAATGCATCAGTGAACATCCATAAACACAGTTAGAGGAATATCTCAAAAGAAGAAATTCACAGAAGTTTTACTAGGAAAAAAAAGAATACACTTTTTCATTAAAGTATATTATTAAATAATGGTGGTCTGGTTTTAATTGGTTTTGGTCAAACATTCTAAGTGGTATAACACTGGTCTGTCCATTCGCTGTACAGAGGTAACTTGTGGTTGCTGTGATGCTGAACACTGTGACACTAATGTGTCAAGTGCGATAATGGTTACCCATGGTGGGCAGTGGTGGAGCTCCCTGATTAAAACAAGCCTGGAAAGAGGAGTGGCATCCACTTCCGAAATAGCTTGCCTCCAGAAACCCTATGAACCTGGAGAAAGGATGAAAGTTATACAAGTGTTCAGGTCTTTCATTCATAGGGTCACTATGAGTCGCCTACAACTTGACGGCGCCTAACAACAACAGCACACTCAAATGAGTGGAGTTCTGGTGGCCTAGTGGTAAGAATATGTGCTGTAATCCTGAAGACATGGGATTCAAATCCACAAGATGCTCCTTAGGAGAAGGGTAGGCAGTCTCCTCTCATGTTATTAACTGTCTCTGAAAACCCACTAGAGTGTCAGCTATGGGTTGGTTCCAACTTAGTAGGACACAACAAGAAGAAGATACTTAAATTACAGCAATGAGAATGAACTAGTTATAGCTACAATCAATAATAAGGATAAATCTTATTACAAATGCAATGTGAAACTGCTGACACTTGTCCCAAGGTGACTGACAGCCATGGCTGTTAGCCACAGTGCTGATTTCCCTTCAAACATTTATCTAAAACATTAGGTAAAGTCTTTTGATGAATAAAAGTCCATTTTTATGGGGGGGAAAAGCCACAAAACCCAAAACAAACAACAGTTATAAACCTCAAACATAATATGGAATGAAAGAAGCTGGAAACAAAAGAGTATGATTCTATTTACTTAAGGCTTTAAAATAAAATAGAAAAGTTAAATAATTCAGGAAGTAAGAGGACATTTGTGATTCTTAGTCGGGATGCAAATGAACACTGATATTTAACCTTTTTTATGTTTCACTTATTTTTTATGTTGCACTTTTTAAAAAAATGTTTATTGTATTAATTGTTGAACATTTTCTTCTCTCCATGCTCCTCCCCAACCCACCTGAAATGTTTCACTTTTGAAAATTTTGAAATTACACCCTTAAAATTTGTGCTATTTTCTCTGTTATACTTCAGCAAATTTACCCATGGAAAATGTACACTTAAATCTTTATTAAGCCAAGTTTTGCTATCAATTCACATACAAATTAATCGTTGGTGCTGTTAGGTGACATCTAGTGGAGTATGGCTCAGCGACCCTGTGAACAACAAATCTGAACTCTGCCCTGTCTGTGTCATCCTCACAATCTCTGACATGCTCAAGTCCATCGGGTCTTCCTCTCTTTTGCTGACCCTCCACTTTTCCAAACACGATGTCCCTCTCCAAGTAACAGCCTCTCCTAGCAACATGCCCAAGCATGTAAGATGAAGCTTTGTCATCTTTGCCTCCAAGGAGCACTCTAGCTGCATTCGTGCTGCACTTTCTCTAAGACACGCCTATTTGTTCTTTTGGCTGTCAATGGGGATATTCACTACCCTTCTCAGATCAAAAGCATCAATAATTCTTCAGTCATCCTTATTCATCGTCCAGCTCTCAGATGCATAGCAAATGATTGAAAAGACCATGACCTGAATCAGATACACCTTAGTCTTGAAACAATAATCACACCTCAGTATCTTGAAGAGGTCCGGATTTTACCTATCCGAAAAATTAAGCTAATCACACCTCTTTCCTCAAAATATTTATCTAATAATCGGCTTTGCATTTTAAAATCTTTGCATATTTGATAGATTAAAAAGAAATATGTCTCCTTTCTGAATTCTCTGTTCACCACTTTTATTTCAGTGAACTGATTTGAAAGAAAAATTATCTGTAACTTGAAAATAGAACAAAAAATTGGTGTTCTTTTATTACTGTGCTGAGCTTGACTTTTTACTGTCTGAGCAACTTAAGACTCTGTAGAGACAAACTTGTAGATCTAGGTCTAGTAGAAATGTAAATAGTTGCTGTCCAGGTGAAAAGATAACCTCAGAGATTAATATCTGTGACTTCCTAAGTAGGGCATTAACCAATTTAGTAACTAACCAGTCTTTCCACATTTCCTAGTTAAAGTGTCCAGATGTACATTTCTCCGTTATCTGTTGTTGTTATGTGCCCTTGAGTCGCCTGCTACTCATAGCGACCCTATGTACAACAGCCCTAAACTCTGCTCTGTCCTGTGCCAATCGCACTGTCTCCGACACTCCCATCCCAATTATCCCAGTCACTGAATCAATCCACCTCATAGAGGGCCTTCCTCTCCTGCGCCGTCCCTCCACCCTCCCAAGCATGACGTCCCTCTCTAAGGACCAGTCTCTCCTCACAACATGTCCAAAGTATGTTAGAGGGAGCCTCAGAATCCTTGCCTCCAAGGAGCCACCCGGTTTAACCCTTTCCAGGACAAATCTGTTTGTTTTCCTAGCAGTCCATGGTATTCTCAATACTCTTCTCCAGCACCACATCTCAAAGGCATCAATTCTCCTTCTGTCCTCCCTGGTCATTGTCCAACTCTCTGATGCATAACAAGTGAATGTGAAGACCATGGCCTGTATCAGACGCACCTTAGTCTCCAGAGAGACACCATTGCTCTTCAGTACTTTGGAGAGGTCCCTAACAGCAGACTTTCCCATGGCAATGCGCCTTTTCGTTTCCTGGCTGCTGGTGCCAAGACTGTTGACTATGGAGCCAAGCAAACTAAAGCTGTGTACAATCTCAATCTCTTCACCATCCATCCTGATGCTGCCAATTGGTCCAGTGGTGAGAATCTTTGTCTTCTTGACATTGAGCCTCAATCCATATTGTAGGCTGCAGTCCTTGACGCTCTGCAGCATGCGCTTCAGGTCCTCTTCAGTTTCAGCAAGAAGAGTTGTGCCATCCACATAACGCAGATTGTTGATAAATCGTCCACCAATCTTGACCCCACATTTCCCCTCATAGAGCCCAGCCTCCCGGATAATCTGTTCTGCATATAGGTTGAAAAGGTATGGAGATAGGATGCATCCCTGGCATACACCCTCCCCAATTTTGAACCATGCAGTGTTCCCTTGCTCTGTTCTGATGACTGCCTCCTGGTCCAAGTATAAGTTTCACATTAGAACGATCAAGTGTTCTGGGATTCCCATTCATCTCAGAGTCAACCATAGTTTGTTATGATCTACACAGTCAAATGCCTTCGCATAGTCAATGAAACTCAGTTATCTAGTGCTGCTATAACACCTCTACCCCTGTTTAGGAGGATAGATGTCTGAATGCTTTATCCTTGTTTTGGAGGGAAGTCTTTGTCTCATTTATTTCCTGGGTCCTCAGAGAGCTCCAAAGGGTTTGACTTGAGCCTTCCCCATCTGCGTTTTCTGCTCATTTGTTTAATCTCATGTCTCAAATGGGATTCACTCAGGATAGAATGGACACTAATCCAGCCTCATTAACATAATAAAGACAGCCCCTCCCCAAATGGGATTACAGCCACAGAGGTGTAGAGGTTAGGATTTATACAGCATGTATTTTGGGAGGTCATAAATCAGTACATAACTTTTCAAGTACAATTTGGATCAGTTTTACCAGTTCCTTCAATGAATTAATTTAAATTTAATTAATTTGTCACAGAGTCAATTTTTTTTATCTTCCTGAAAATTATGCTGTAATATTTTGTGACCTTTCAAATGTATTTGTATACTTTTGTTATTAGTCTTCATGTACATTTTGGTATTAGGAGTATGTCCACAAAGTACTTGCTTTTCTCCCTTTATTCCCTCCCTTTGCACGTGGCTGGATTTAGTGACTCACTAACCTTAAGTAGCAGAAGTGATGAAAGCTCACATCTGAGGCTTGGCCCTGGCAAAGCACTGCAGCTTTCTAGTGGCTGCTCTCACCCTGAGCAGACTCTGCCTGTTTTGTCTGGAGCCTTATGGAGAGGCCCGTGTGATGAGGAACTGAGGACTCTGGTCAGCTTCCATCTACACAGATCCTCTCACACCAGTGGAGTCTTGTGATGACCGCAACACTAGCTGACACCCTGATTGCAACCTCTTGAGACTGAGCCAGAATTCTCAGCTAGCCCAACCCCACACTGCTGAAACGGAGATAATCATGCCTTTCCAAGCCACTAAGTTTGGGGTAATGTTTTTTTTTAAATTATTTGTGTGTGAGTGTACCGTCAAATCAGATCTGACTGATACAGGAGGAGATTGCCCCTCCTTCCCCTCCAGAGCATCTGGTGGATTCGAACCGTGCGCCTCTGGGATTGTAGTTGCAGCTCCTTGCCACTAGGCCACCAAAGCTCCCCAGTTTGGGGTAATTTGTCAACAGCTATAGATAAATATTACACACCCAGCTTGTGGTTGCCCTTTGTGTTTTCTTTTTTCCAGATTAAACCTCTAGACTATGAGACGGGTATGCTATTTATTGCACTAAATAAATTCTAACACCTAGCATGATGTGAGGACATAGTTTGCTTAAGAAATTTAAAGGGACCAAATTGATAGACGAAATAATCATACCTCAGTAGAACCCTCCCTGTGTGCCAGGCACTGTTCCTAAGCAGTAGTAAGTAAATGTGTTCCTTTACTTCCTTTTCATGACAACTCTATAATGTTGCTTCTATTATTTTTTTTCTATAATTATATTTTATTAATTTTCATAAACATTTACAGAGATTTTGGGCTTCCACTCATTCATTGTTGCACTATTCTCTCTACCCTCCTCCCAGTTTGTTCTTGTCCAAATGCCACTGTGCTTGTCAAAGCCAGTTCTGATTAATCTTCTTTGTCAGTGTATCCTTTGCCATTCCCTATCACTCCTCCCTGAGAGAGACTTCACCCTGGGTCATAAGGAAAAGGGGACGGCGTATTCTCTTAGCTACTTCCTGCTGAAAAGGGACGCTGTGGGTTTCAGGGTGAAGATCTTCTCTCACTACTCTAAAGGGCCCCTTTGGCAGTAGGAAACACATAGACTATTATGGAGATTGATTTTGGAATTCAGATGCACTCTTATTGATTGTGCTTGGCTGTACATGTACATATCCTTCAAGATGTATCATGGGGGTGTTGCAACCTAGAAGACACAAATTTGACTAACAAGTTATAAGTACATGAGTCCAATAATTATGGAAAAGTAAAAGAAAAGATTCTTTCATTGTTTTACAAACCCTCCCCCAGGTCCCCTCCACCATGCAGCCCTCGCTCTAGTCTCCTGTGATGACAGAAATACCCAGTTACATCTCTCTTTTAGACGGTTCTCTCCCTCCTCTGCTTCAGTGCAGTATACATTATTGAACCCATCTTACTCAGTGTCTCCCCAACCCCAAGGACAGTCCCATTCTACAACAGTGGCATCATGTAATATTTGTCCTTTTGTGACTGGGATATTTCACTCAGCATAATGTTCTCCAGAGTCAACCATTTTGAATAATATTGCATGAGTTCCTTGTTTTTTAATGCAGCATAGTATTCCATTGTGCGAATATACCACAGCTTCTCTAGCCATTCGTTTGTTGATGGGCACTTAGGTTGTTTCCAACTCCTTGCTATTGTGAACAAAGCTGCAATGAACATGGGTGTGCATAGTTGCTTCTATTATTATTCCTATTTTATAGCTAGAGAATAAGTAATATGCTCAAGATGAAAGAGGTAGTGGCAGAACTGAGGTTGAAATCAAGGCTTGACCTTTCCACCTTGCTACTATCTCTATCTGGAACTTGAAACAAATCTAATTCTTGGTTGTAACATACATCTGTGCTCACTTAAGTCCTCTAGGGAGGTGAAAAATTTCATCTTCATATCTAAAATTACAGGTGGTATATAACTAACTGGGTAGGATATTTTGGTTTCCTTTTTTAAAAAAAACAAAAAACAGGTTTTGTTGTTTGTGCGGTTTTTTTTAACCTCCTCTCAGAAATATTTTAAATATCTCTGGGGAGCTGGCACACATCATGCTGTTCTTCTTTTTTTTTTTTTTCTGTCACAAAGAAACTTTATTGCTTTTATAACAGCCTCTTAGGCTTTCTTGCCCGATGCCTTTGGAGCAGTTTTCTGGGCTGGGGCTTTCGGACCCTTCTGAGCTTTTGGAGGTCCAGCCTTCTGGCCGGCAGCCTTCTCCTTCTGGGCCGGGGCTTTCTCTTTCTGGCCGGCAGCCTTCTCCTTCTGGGCGGGGGCCTTCTCCTTCTTGCCCGCAGCAGTCACCTTCTTGGGCGACACCTTCCCAGCCCTGGCATGCTGTTCTTCTTGTTACGTACCATTGAGTCGACTGCATCTCATAGTGACCGTATGAACAATAGCCCTATCCTAAGCTAATCTCTGTTTCTGACACACTTGCTCTTATTACCCCTGTTAACGGCATCAGTCCATCTCCAGGGTCTTCCCCTCCTGCGCTGACCCTCCATTCTTCCAAGCATGATGTCCTTCTCCAAGGACAGGTTCCCCTGGTAACATGCCTATAGTATGTGAGATAGAGTTTGAAAATCCTTGTCTCCAAGTAGTAGCATCATACATGTATGTAAATAGAGAGATAAATTATTGAGTGGTTCTTACAGCTACTAGATTTGTTTGAGTAATTCATCTGAAAATAAAAATTTGAACCTTACTCATCTTTCACACCAAACCACAAATTTATTTATTTATTTTTTTAATTTTGTGTCTGTGTACCGTCAAATAGGATCTGACTGGTACAGGAGGAGATTGCCCCTCCTTTTCCAGCAGACCATCTGGTGGATTCGAACCACGTACCTCTGGGATTGCAGTAAGCTTCTTGCCACTAGGCCACCAGAGCTCCCTCAAACCACAATTTTTACGAACAAATAGATTTCCTGGCCAGCATTGCCCTTGGATACTTACACTGTACAGTCACTCTGACCACACAGCTTTCCTTCCCAGCCTCATTGCCTGCTGTGCACTGGTACAGTCCAGAGGAGGACATGGTGAGGTTCTGCAGTAGAACACGGCCAGGGTTGTTGTAGTCTACACAGGCAGAAAGAAAGACCATTACCTCTTAGGGACAATGTCTGTTTCATTCTTTACTGCTTCAACAACCCAAAATTCTCTAATAAAGACAGTTTGGCAAAGATGGAATAATAGAAAAAGTTCTATTTAGAACATGAGAATTTTTTTTTTAATTGTAGCATGTCCTCAAAAGTTGTAAAACATTTCAACATTTAAGGGATAATGAACAAAAGGTATGGTTAGTTTATGCTTATGGACTCATCACTTAGTGACATGATTAAGTTTCAGAAGATCAGGTTGTTATGTGAAAAAGAGCATTATACAGAAAGGGAGGATGCTCACATTACAACCTAACTGCCAAGCCACTGAGAATCATGACCCAGCGAGGCCAGCATAAAACTTAACCGTTACAGATCATCACAGCCAGCCTTCCTCTCGCCTAACACACTCACACTCATTACTGACCAGACATACATTATTAATGCACAAATAATTAGTTGAATAGTAGATTTTTACTATTGACATATTTTGAACATGTCAGGTAACAAGACTATAAGTAAGGAATAGGGGTGTGTGTATGTGTATAAGTGAGTAAATACATATATATATATATATATATATATATATATTTGTTGTTATGTGCTGTCAAGTCACCTGTGACTCACAGCAACCCTGTGTACAGCAACTCTGAAGCTGGCCTTATCCAGAGCCAATCTCATTGTTTCCAACAGACCTAATCCCACATCTCCAGTCACTGAGTCAATCGTTTCATCCTGGGGCTTCCTTTCCTGCACTGTCCCTCCACCCTTCCAAGCATGATGTTCTTCTCGTAGGACTGGTCCCTCCTGGACACATGGCCAAAGTATGTGAGACAAAGCTTCAAAATCTTTGCCTTCATGGAGTAGCTTGATTTCACCCTCTCCAGGACTGACCTGTTTGTTCTGTTTGTTTGTTTTTTTTCTTTTTTTTTTATTTTGTGTGCGTGTACCGTCAAATCAGATCTGACTGGTACAGGAGGATATTGCGCCTCCTTCTCCGGCAGAGCATCTGGTGGATTCGAACTCTGTTCCTCTGGGATTGCAGTGCAGCTTCTTGCCACTAGGCCACCAGAGCTCCCCTGACCTGTTTGTTCTGGTAGCCCACGGTATGTTCAACATTCTTCTCCAGCACCACAACTTAAAGGCATCAATTATTCTTCTATTATCCTTAGTCATTGTCTAGCTTTCTGATACATAGCAAGTACTTTTGAAGACCATGGCCTGGATCAGGCACATCTTAGTCTCCAGGCAGAAATCGTTGGTTTTTGGTACTCTAGAGAGGTCCCTGTCAGTAGACTTTCCCAATGTAATTTGTCTTTTGATTTCCTGACTGCTGGTGCCAATAGTGTTGAATGTGGAACCAAGCAAGTTGAAGTTCTTAACAATCTCAATCTTTTCTGTCTATCATGAAGCTGCCAATTGATCCAGGGGTGAGAACCTCTGTTTTCTTGATGTTGAGCTTCAGTCCATATTGAAGACTATAATCCTTGACCTCCTGCACCATATACCTCATGTTCTCCTCAGTTTCAGCAAGCAAGGTTATGTCATCTACATAACACAGGTAGTTGATGAGTCTTTTTCCAACCCTAATGCCACATGCCTCCTCAGAAAGCCCAACCTCCTGAATGATCTGTTCTGCATATAGATTGAAAAGGTATGAAGAGAGGATGTGTCCTCGACGCACACTTTTCCTGATCCTGAACCATTCAGTGTTTCCCTGTTCTGTTCTGACTATTGCTTCCTGGTCCAAGTATAGGTTTCACATGAGCACAATTAAGTGTTCTGGGATTCCCATTCAGCTCAAGGTTAGCCACAAGTTGTTGTGATCTACACAGTCAATGCCTTTATAGTCAATGAAACACAGACATTCCTCTGGCACTCTCTGCTTGCGGCAATGAGTCCTCTAACATTGGCTGTGATGGGCATAGTGCCACAGCCTCTTCTAAACCTCGCTTGCACATGTGGCAGTTCTCTGTTGATGTACTATTCCAGTCCTTTTTGGATAATCTTCACTAGGACCTTGCTTGTGTATGAGACTAGTGATACTGTTTGGTAATTTCCACACTCTTTCGGGGCCTATGAATATAAAAAGAAATACCTATTCCTAATCTCCTTTGCCATTTTTACCTACCATTTGAGGGGAGAAGAGGACACATTTTCTGTTTCAGTTTATGGATAGAAAAACTGAGTATGAAAGAAGGAATATACTTAAGGTCACACAGTGGAGTGTTGACAAAAAGCAGGCATAGACTTCCTGGACAGAACACTGCTCTCTTGCTTATGAGATTGGTTGAAGGTGCCTTACCAATCCTAGATTTGGGAGGTAGATGCTCATCCTCTCCCTCCTTCTCTCGAACGCGCTGCCAGAAATACATGATGGGCTTTGTGCCAGAGGCTGACTCACACTGCAGTGTCAGGTCACTTCCCTCTGTCAGCTCTCCTTCCAGCTCACATTTGGGCTTAGATGGTTTCACTGACAAAAAAAAAAGGTATAATGACTGAAAAAAAAATCTCTGAACATCTGACTCAGGGAAGATCCTATTGTTTATTTACATCCTTTATAGTCAGTTTTTGCTTCCCAGCTGAGCTTCACATTAACCCCAAAATAATGCCCACCTTCCCTCCCCGCTCTGCATACACATCCACCCAATTCCAGCTGCTCGAAGAGAGCCTGTCATTTTTGGAAGCTGCCTGCAAAGACATTGGCATTTCTCAAAGAAGAGATACTGTTATTTAATTGAAATCTGCAGTTAAGTTTGAACATGATTTTACTGATAGAGAAAATGGAGATAGAAGTTTGTTAATTTGAAAGTGATTAAATTTCACTCAGTAGCTTTCAGAATAGTGCACATGGCCAACATGCTCAGCTGCTCGGAGGGACCTCAGAACAAAGGCCTGGTGACCAATTGCAAGAAATCCATCCTCGAGAACTTTGTGCAGCATAGCTCTACTCATGGAGTTGCTGTGAGAATTAATTGCACAGCCATTTTTTTAACAGCTTTTGTTGTAAAAAAAAAGGAAAGCAATGGATTTTAATCGTATCTGAAAGATTTAAGTTAAAAGTAAGTATGCCATTTATGTTCTAGGAGATATTTTAATTTTGTGGTGGACTATAATAGAAAAGAATTCATATATATCTATTTTTAATTTTTTTCCCCTTCTAGGACTGTGGCTATAATCTAGTCTCAGTTCAGTTGTGGCTGTAATCTAGTCTCAGTTCACTAGATTCGGTGAATGCCAAGTGCATATTACAAAATCCTGAATAACTTGTGTACGATCATGATGCATTAGACTATCCTTTCCACAGACCTGATAACTAACTTTGACACTATATCTTACCTAAGACTTTTAGGATGACATGGCTCCACACATAGCGTCCTGAATTCTTCACCTTGCAGGTGTACCGGCCCTCATCACTGGGCTTCAGAGGCTCAATCTGCAGGGAGGCGTCACCGGCCAGGAAATTGGAAGCGAAGGCCACGCGCCCCTTCTGTTCCTCAGTCAAGTTGTTGTAGACATGACGACTGGAGTACGTGATCACCTGGGGACAGAGCAGGACTGGGTCAAGTGTAGCTGTCAGCTCCATTTCCTCAAGATGCGGAAGGGAAGTACTATCAGTGACACAAGTATTCACACTTGGGGCTAGCTCAAAGGACTCAAGAGACTGAGGTTCTTTTCTTTTTGAAAGTTAGAGAAAGATTTACTTACAGAGAGAATCAATCTAGTATAGTAACCAGGGAGGGAAAGGGAGAGAGTAGAAAATTATTTCATAGACAAGAAACACTCATTAAGATGAGTGAAGGAGAGGCCAATAAGGAATGAGTGGACAATCAGGCTTTGTGTATATTATAATTAATGTTATGGGGAAAAATATGCATGAATGATTTTTAAAAAATGTATTGTAAACTTTCATTCATAGTACAATAAGAAAAAGTAAAAAAAAAAAGTCATTAAAAATTCCCATGAATTCCATTAAAAAATTCTAATTGTATATCAACACTTACCAAAATTGTATGCTTTGAATATATGCAGTTTGAGACCTCTGTTCCTAATAAACATTAAAGGTGGAGTATGTTTGTCTAGCTCTCATTTCTTCTCCTAAGAATAGTAACTCTTTATATTTATGTAGCATAAGAGTGGCATCCACTTCCATAATAGCTTGCCTCCGGAAACCCTATGAACCTGGAGAGAAGATGAAAGGCACCCAAGCGTCGAGGACTCTCCTTCATAGGGTCACTATGAGTTGCCTGTGACTCGATGGCACTTAACAACAACACAACAACAGTAACAATAAAGCACTGAAATGAATGGATACAGAAGCTGTGGTATATTCACACAATGGAATACTACCCAGCACTGAAAAACAAGGAATTAATAAAATATAAAATGGGTGACCCTGGAGGACATTGGGTTGACTGAAATATCTCAGTCATGAAAGGACAAATACTGCATAGTGCCACTGTTGTAAAATGGAGCTGAAATGAAGGTTGGGGGGAAACTAAGAAGAGGGGATAATGAGCATTGCATTGAAACAGATGAGGAGAAAGAACTGTTTAAAAGGAATATATGATTTGGTATTATTTGCATGGCAACAGAATAAGAGGTGCATAGCAAAGTAGACTGGGGGTGGTAGGAGGAAGGAAACTGCAACAATGAAAGAATCTTTTTAAAAGAAAAGCAAACTGGTGAGGAGTAGGAAGGAAAATGTGCAATAATGAAGAAATGGAAATCCAAGTTTTCTATAAACTTTCATTAAAGTATTAATAAAAAAATTAAGCCCAATAATAAAGCACTGATTATTTCACCAAATGCTCAGAACCACTCCATTTTATAGGTGAGAAAACATAAAAATTGAGTTGTAATCACACTAGTAAGAAATGGAAAAGTTAATTGTGATTATACATTAAGTATAGCATATTTCGGAAGGATATAGAAATAAATAGTATCAATAACTGCTTCTGAGAACAGAAAGAAAGGAAGATAAACACAGGATGAGACTTCTTCTCCCCTGTATACCCTTTCTTCATGAGAGAAAGATGAGCAATCTCCTCCAGTGTGATTTACAGCCTCTGACAACATGCTGGAGGGTCAGATTATGAGTCAGTTCTGTCTCAGTGACACAACTATACCCTTTCATAGGGAACTCTGGTGGCATAGTCCACAAGTTTTCACCGCTAAACCAAAGACGGTGTGTCTCTAGTCACGTGTCTCTGTGTGTGTGTGTGTGTGGTCTCTGTGTGTCTCCAGTCCACCAGCAGCAAAGAGTGACAAAGATGGGCAGTCTCCACTCAGAGATTTACAGCCTTGGAAACCCAGTGTAGGCACAATATGAGTCAGAACAAACCCCAGGGCCTTTCCTGTCTTATTTTCTACCACTTGCTTGTGACTTATTGAATGTACACTACACTTCTTAAGCACTATTATGAGTCATCTTGTTTATCCCTTACCACAAATTCTAAGGTTATTATTGTTCCCACTTAACAAACAAGTGGGAGGACAAGGATTTGACCCCGGTCCTCTAATGGCATGTAGTGCAGTATTCCAGGACACCACAGTTCTACTCCTCCTTCTCCTACCTGCTTCGTTTCACTGCTCATTAGATGCTCTTCCACAAAGTTTGGAAGTGAAAAAAAAGGGCAATGGAAAAAATAAATTGGTTTTGTTCTTTAAAAAGTATAAAGACAGAGTGAAGTGATTGGCAAAGGTAAAAAATATTACAAACAATAATTACATTTCAGAGTTAAGTATGAAGATTTCATTGATTGCATTCCTTCCTTACTGTTGATTGTTGTTGTTATGTGTCGTCAAGTCGCCTGCGACTCATAGCGACCCTATGTACAACAGCTCTGCACTCTGCTTTATCCTGAGCCAACCTCATTGTCTCTGATACACCTACCCCATTACCCCAGTCACTGAGTCAATCCATCTCAGTAAATGAAAACCAAAAACAACACCACCATCATCAAGTCTGTCCTGATTTACAATTTCCATCAGGTTTCTGAGGCTGTGAATCTTTACAAGGAAGAAACTGCTCATCTTTCTCCCACAAAGTTGCTAGTGGGCTCAAGCTGCTTACCCCTCCCCTCCTCTTCATGCTTGGAAGGGCAGAAGGTTAGCACAAGAAAAGAAAACCCTGGATGAGATGGACTGACTCAATGACTGGGGTAAGAGGGTAGGTGTGTCAGAGATGATCAAATTGGCTCAGGATAGAGCAGATTTCAGAGCTGTTGGACATAACAGGGTCGCTATAAGTCAGGGTGTATGCCAGGGATGCGTCCTATCTCCATACCTTTTCAACCTGTATGCAGAACAGATTGTCTGGGAGGCTGGGCTCTATGAGGAGAAATGTGGGGTCAAGATTGGTGGAAGATCTATCAATAATTTGTGTTATGCAGATGACACAACCCTGCTTGCTAAAACTGAGGAGGACCTGAAGTGCTTGCTGCAGAGGGTCAAGGACTGCAGCCTTCAATATGGAATGAGACTCAATATCAAGAAGACAAAGATTCTCACCACTGGACCAATTGGCAGCATCAGGATGGATGGCAAAGAGATTGAGATTGCTCACAGCTTTAGTCTGCTTGGCTCCACAGTCAACACTCTTGGCACCAGCAGCCAGGAAATTAAAAGACATATTGCAACAGGAAAGTCTGTTGATAGGGACCTCTCCAAAGTATTGAGGAGCAATGGTGTCACTAGGGAGACTAAGGTGCATCTGATACAGGCCATGGTCTTTGCTATCACTTGTTATGCACCAGAGTGTTGGGCAATGACTAGGAAGGATAGAAGGAGAATTGATGCCTTTGAGCTTTGGTTTTGGAGAAGAGTATTGAGGGTACCATGGACTGCTAAGAAAACAAACATTCATCCTGGAGAGGGTTAAAACGGTCTGCTCCTTGGAGGCAAGGATTCTGGGGCTTCATCTGACATACCTTAAACATGTTGTAAGGAGGGACCGGTACTTGGAGAGGGACATCATGCTTGGTAGGGTGGAGGGACGGCACAGGAGGGGAAGACCCTCTAAGAGGTAGATTGATTCAGTGACTGGGGTAATCGGGATGGGTGTGTCAGAGGCAGTGTGATTGGCACAGGATAGAGCAGCGTTTAGGGCTGTTTGTTGTACATAGGGTCGCTATGAGTCACAAGTGTCTCGATGGCACATAAAAACAACAACAATGAGTCAGAGTTGACTCAAAGGTGCATAACAACAACATCACTACCACCACCACCACAACCTCTCCCTTCATTAGCAGCTCAAGAAATAAAGCACTGCACTACGAGGGCTCCTTAAGAATTAAGTTAAAGGATATCTTTTTCCTGCATTAAATACGCAAGGATTTCCTGTCATTGTTTTCTCAGATCAGAAGACCCAAGTTTCGGTTTCTCAATTAGGAAAAAGAAGAAAAAAATCTTGACATTTATTTGTTCATCAATTCAGATGAATAAAACCAACCTCTGTCTTTGGGTAATTTACAATCTAGTGTGATTTACAAATTGTTGTTAAGTGCCAAGTCAAGTACGCCCCGTGAACAACAGATCTGAACCCTGTCCTGTCCTATCCCGTCTTTATTTACAAGCAAAAAAGTATAAACCCAGAAAGCAGAACATTGAATTTGAAATAGCATCTGAAAGAATGTTCCAGAAAAATAAGTGGCATCTGAATTAGCCTGGAAATAGAAGAATGCTAAGAAGAGGTAAGAGCAGCATAAACTAGAACTGGGGAGGAGCATTCCAGATACCTAGAATAGCACTAAAAAGGCTTGCAAGCATATGGGAGTCTCCCTATCCCATGCTGGCTGCAGCTGTTCCAGTTTCATTCGACTGAAGCCTTTAACCCCCTCTTCAATCACATAGTGCTCTGCAACTCTTCAAATGCTTCCCTGAAAAGATTTTAAACCATTCAACAAAATAACCACCTATTTTCTCTCCATGAAACAAGAACCCTTCAGTATAATAATTCGTTTCCCCCTTATCATCTCTTTGGAAAAAAATGATACTTTTTTCACTGAATTAATTTTTTTTTAAATTCAGTTAATATTGAATTTCTGTACCAGATACTAAGAAAACAAGTCTTAGAAAAAAATGTAGAGATACAGTTTCTACTCCTGAGGAGCACACAGGCCAGAATGAGGAAGAATATGTAAGACTAGGGAAAACACTACACTTAAAATGTTTTCAGTATTTTATCTTCATGGTTTCAACAAACACCACCATTGTCGTCCTTATTTCCATTCGCAACAGATTTCTGAGCTCTAACTTAATATTTCCAGCTGTTTGGATATCTGTATGTGTCTGTCCCTGCCACTGACAGTATACTAAGGATTATAGAAGAAGAATTAATGCCTTTGACTTGAGGTGTTGGAGAAAAATCTTGAACATACCAGGGATTGCCAAGACAACAACAGGTCTGCCCTGGAGAGAGTGAAATCAAGTTGGTTCCCTGGAGACAGGGATTTTTTTTTTCTTTTTATTTTATATTAGTTTGTGGGGAAAAAACCCTCATATACATTGTGTTTCACACTATTCTTCATTCATATTGTG